TGGAAACATATAAATTTTTATTTGGCAAAATATTGTCATTCATATAAGTTTTACTCAATCCCGTTTCAAAAGGTTTTAAACCTTAAATCATGAGACTTACTCTCATAGGTGACATTCACCACCTGCACTGATTCACTGAGCTGTGTCTCTCTGGAATTACGGAGAGTGTTGATAGCGCTGAGGACCAGAGCTTCACTGGGGACTGGAGATGAGGAGTTGAACACCAGCTTGCTTGTGACCACTGCTGAACCAAGTCTGTAAATAAAACCCCTTTGGTTTAATGTACATCAAATGTTTGCAATAACATTTCTTTCCCATTTTTGATTGTTCTAAAAATTTGAAAACCAACACTTACATGAGATTTGAAGGGGTCACAGTGAAACCTGTTGTTGTTTCTGGAAGCACTGTTGTAGTGGTTGGCAGACGTAGCTCATTTAGGAAGCTGACTGGTTGTATGGCATCTCCATCCTGGAAGGTGTAGTCCATCCTGCCATCAATCTGGTTTGAAGAGCTCCTACAGGAAAAGCAGAAAAGAGACTGTTTTTGCAATGTGCTTAAATTCCTATGCATAATACAGCTTTATTGATTTTTTTTCCCGTTTTTTTCCTTTTTTTCAAATATCAGCTTGTTTTAATGTCCTGGAATGTCATGAGGCACTAAATAAACATTATGGATGAAAAATATTATTCATAGTAAGAAATGAGATTGCATCTTACGTGAAATTGGAAGATTTGGGTTCGAAAACGATCTTGCCAGGTTCATTCAGAAGAGTGTTCAGCTGCAGGATAAAAATCAGACCATTCATCAACCTCTGGGGAAGAAAGGCATTGGACCTAAAACTCTTTATACTGTTCATTTTTAATGTTTACCGCATCATTGATGATATCCTTCACTTGCTGGTAGGTGTCGCCTCTGAGATCAGGGTCTTCTGGCATGCTGATGTTAACCACGTGAAATGTGAAGAACACAGCATATGAGGTTTCTGAGATTTCTGTTTAGAGAGAAATGCTACTTTTTAGATTCGCCAAAGATCCTGCAGAAGTATATAACTGATTGATTCATTCTCATTTCAATTTTTTATGTGATAATCATGACACTTACTCTCATAGGTGACATTCACGACCTTCACTGATTCACTGAGCTGTGACTCTCTGGATATCAGGAGAGTATTGATAGCACTCATGACCTGAGATTCACTGGGGACTGGAGACCAGGAGTTGAATAGCAGTTTGCTTGCCACCGCTGCTGTTGTTTGAGTTGATGCAATTGTAGCAGCTGAGTTTATAGGAATACTTGTTTTAACTCCAGATGTAGTCATTGGAGTCACACTTGTAATTTGCGAGGCACCAGTAGCTGACGTTGACAATGGCATTGTGGTTTCTTGAGTTACAAATATAATGGTTGGTGCAGTAGTTTCAGTGGTTGCTAAAGACACAGTTATTTTTGTGCTTTGAGATACAAATGCAGTTGGAGCAGGATTTTGTGTTTCTGAAAGACTAGTCAGAGTCACTGCATTTGTTGTTGCATTTAGCAAAGGTGAGGTTGTTAGAAATGATTTCGTAAATTCTGATAACATTGGCATGGTTGTGGGTGTGATAAATGTTGTTGCTGCAGCAGTTGTTGGAGTTACTGCTGTTGTTGGTGGTGCAGCATTTGTTAGAGGTTCTGGAAATACAGGCATTGTTGTAGGATTCACAACTGTGGTTGTAGAAGCTTCATTTGTTGAAGGCTGTGCTGTTGTTGCTAGAGCCACATTTTCTGTTGCTGGAGGTGCATTTGTAGGTGCTGGGAACACAGGCATGGTTGTGGGGTTTATTGCTTTGGTTGTTAAAGTTTCATTTGTTGTTGACAATGGTGTTGTTGGAGCAGCTTTTGCTGTTATTGTAGTTTCTGTTGATATCTGAGTGGTTGTGGGGTTCACAGCTTGGGTAGCAGAAGCTTTAGTTGTCAAAGACAATGGAGTTGTTGGAGCAGCATTTTCTGTTGCTGAAGGTGCAGAGAATACAGGCATGGTGGTGGGGTTTCTGGCTGCGGTTGTTGAAGCTTCAGTTGTTGAAGATTGTGCAGTTGCAGTTGGTGAAGATATGAGTGTGGTTGTTGGGGTCACAGCTGTGGTTGTATAAGCTTCACTTTTAATTGTTGACGATGGCGTCTCTGTTGGAGCAGCATTTTCTGTTGCTGTAGGTACTGAGAATACAGGCGTTGTTGTGGGGTTCACTGCTGTGGTGGTTGTAGCTTTATTTGTTGTTGACAATTGTGCTGTTGGAGCAGCTGTTGTTGTAGATTCTGAAGAAATAAGAGTGGTTGTGGGGTTCACAGCTTGGGTAGCAGAAGCTTTAGTTGTCAAAGACAATGGAGTTGTTGGAGCAGCATTTTCTGTTGCTGGAGGTGCAGAGAATACAGGCATGGTGGTGGGGTTCCCAGCTGTGGTTGTATAAGCTTCAGTTGTTATTGCTGAAGATGGTGTCTTTGTTGGAGCAGCATTTTCTGTGGTTGTGGGACTCACAGCTGTGGTTTTATAACCTTCAGTGGTCAAAGATTGTGCTGTAGCAGCCTTTGTTGTTGTTGTAGGTGCAGTTGTTGAGGATATAAGAGTGGTTGTGGGGTTCACAGCTTTGGTAGTAGAAGCTTCAGTTGTCGAAGACTGTGGAGTTGTTGTTGGAGCAACATTTTCTGTTGCTGGATGTAGAGAGAATACAGGCATGGTTGTGGGGTTTCTGGCTGCGGTTGTTGACGCTTCAGTTGTTGAAGATTGTGCAGTTGCAGTTGGTGAAGATATGAGTGTGGTTGTTGGGGTCACAGCTGTGGTTGTATAAGCTTCACTTTTAATTGTTGACGATGGTGTCTCTGTTGGAGCAGCATTTTCTGTTGCTGTAGGTACTGAGAATACAGGCGTTGTTGTGGGGTTTACTGCTGTGGTGGTTGTAGCTTTATTTGTTGTTGACAATGGTGCTGTTGGAGCAGCTGTTGTTGTAGATTCTGAAGAAATAAGAGTGGTTGTGGGGTTCACAGCTTGGGTAGCAGAAGCTTTAGTTGTCAAAGACAATGGAGTTGTTGGAGCAGCATTTTCTGTTGCTGGAGGTGCAGAGAATACAGGCATGGTGGTGGGGTTCCCATCTGTGGTTGTATAAGCTTCAGTTGTTATTGCTGAAGATGGTGTCTTTGTTGGAGCAGCATTTTCTGTGGTTGTGGGGCTCACAGCTGTGGTTTTATAACCTTCAGTGGTCAAAGATTGTGCTGTAGCAGCCTTTGTTGTTGTTGTAGGTGCAGTTGTTGAGGACATAAGAGTGGTTGTGGGGTTCACAGCTTTGGTAGTAGAAGCTTCAGTTGTCGAAGACTGTGGAGTTGTTGTTGGAGCAACATTTTCTGTTGCTGGATGTAGAGAGAATACAGGCGTTGTTGTGGGTTTCACTGCTGTGGTGGTTGTAGCTTTATTTGTTGTTGACAATGGTGCTGTTGGAGCAGCTGTTGTTGTAGATTCTGAAGAAATAAGAGTGGTTGTGGGGTTCACAGCTTGGGTAGCAGAAGCTTTAGTTGTCAAAGACAAGGGAGTTGTTGGAGCAGCATTTTCTGTTGCTGTAGGTGCAGAGAATGCAGGCATGGTTGTGGGGTTCCAGTCTGTGGTTGTTGAAGCGTCAGTTGTTGAAGACTGTGCTATTGTTGTTGGAGCAGCATTTGTTGCTGTTAAAGGTGCAGTTGTAGTTGGTGAGAATATGAGTGTGGTTGTAGGGGTCACAGCTGTGGTTGTGTAAGGTTCAATTGTTATTGTTGAAGATGGTGTCCCTGTTGGAGCAGCATTTTCTGTTGCTATAGGTACTGAGAATACAGGCATAGTTGTGGGATTCACTGCTGTGGTGGTTAAAGCTTCATTTGTTGTTGAAATTTCATTTCTTGCTGTTGAAGCTGCAGTTGTACTTGATGAGGATATGAGGGTGGTTGTGGGGATCACATTTATGAATGTGGAAGCTTCAGTTTCTGTTGATGGTGCTGTTGTTGTTGAAGCAGCATTTCTTGCTGTTGAAGGTGCAGTTGTACTTGGTGAGGATGTAAGTGTGGTTGTGGGGATCACATCCATGGTTGTGGAAGCCTCAGTTTCTGTTGATGGTGCTGTTGCTGTTGTACTTGGTGAGGATGTAAGTGTGGTTGTGCGGGTCACATCTATGGTTGTGGAAGCTTCAGTCATCAAAGACAGTGGAGTTGTTGTTGGAGCTGCATTTTCTGTTGCTGGAGGTACAGAGAATACAAGCATGGTGGTGGGATTCCTGGCTGCGGTTGTTGGAGCTTCAGTTGTTGAAAATGGTGCTGCTGCAGTTGAGGCAGCATTTGTTGCTGTTGAGGGTGCAGTTGTAGTTGGTGAGGATATGAGTATGGTTGTGGGGCTCACAGCTGTGGTTGTATAAACTTCAGCTGCTATTGTTGAAGATGGTGTGTCTGTTGGAGCAACATTTTCTGTTGCCATAGGTACTGAGAATACAGGTGTGGTTGTGGGGTTCACTGCTGTGGTGGTTGTAGCTTCATTTGTTGTTGACAATGGTGTTGTTGTGGCAGCTTTTGCTGTTGTTGTAGTTTCTGAAAATATAAAAGTTGTTGTGGGGCTCACAGCTGTGGTAGCAGAAGCTTCAGTTGTCGAAGACAGTGGAGTTGTTGTTGGAGCTGCATTTTCTGTTGCTGGAGGTACAGAGAATACAAGCATGGTGGTGGGATTCCTGGCTGCGGTTGTTGGAGCTTCAGTTGTTGAAAATGGTGCTGCTGCAGTTGAGGCAGCATTTGTTGCTGTTGAGGGTGCAGTTGTAGTCGGTGAGGATATGAGTATGGTTGTGGGGCTCACAGCTGTGGTTGTATAAACTTCAGCTGCTATTGTTGAAGATGGTGTGTCTGTTGGAGCAACATTTTCTGTTACCATAGGTACTGAGGATACAGATGTGGTTGTCGGGTTCACTGCTGTGGTGGATGAAGCTTCATTTATTGTTGACAATGGTGTTGTTGGGGCAGCTTTTGCTGTTGTTGTAGTTTCTGAAAATATAAGAGTGGTTGTGGGGTTCACAGTTGTGGTAGTAGAAGCTTCAGTTGTCGAAGACAGTGGAGTTGTTGTTAGAGCAACATTGTCTGTTGCTGGAGGTGCAGAGAATGCAGGCATGGTTGTGGGGTTCCAGTCTGTGGTTGTTGAAGCGTCAGTTGTTGAAGACTGTGCTATTGTTGTTGGAGCAGCATTTGTTGCTGTTAAAGGTGCAGTTGTAGTTGGTGAGAATATGAGTGTGGTTGTAGGGGTCACAGCTGTGGTTGTGTAAGTTTCAATTCTTATTGTTGAAGATGGTGTCTCTGTTGGAGCAGCATTTTCTGTTGCTATAGGTACTGAGAATACAGGCATAGTTGTGGGATTCACTGCTGTGGTGGTTAAAGCTTCATTTGTTGTTGAAATTTCATTTCTTGCTGTTGAAGCTGCAGTTGTACTTGATGAGGATATGAGGGTGGTTGTGGGGATCACATTTATGAATGTGGAAGCTTCAGTTTCTGTTGATGGTGCTGTTGTTGTTGAAGCAGCATTTCTTGCTGTTGAAGGTGCAGTTGTACTTGGTGAGGATGTAAGTGTGGATGTGGGGATCACATCTATGGTTGTGGAAGCCTCAGTTTCTGTTGATGGTGCTGTTGCTGTTGTACTTGGTGAGGATATGAGAGTGGTTGTGCGGGTCACATCTATGGTTGTGGAAGCTTCCGTTTCTGTTGGTGGTGCTGTTGTTGTTGAAGCAGCATTTGTTGCCGTTGAAGGTACAGTTGTACTTGGTGAGGATATGAGGGTGGTTGTGGGGATCCCATCTATGGTTGTGGAAGCTTCCGTTTCTGTTGATGGTGCTGTTGTTGTTGAAGCAGCATTTCTTGCTGTTGAAGGTGCAGTTGTACTTGTTGAGGATATGAGGGTGGTTGTGGGGATCACATCTATGGTTGTGGAAGCTTCAGTTTCTGTTGATGGTGCTGTTGTTGTTGAAGCAGCATTTCTTGCTGTTGAAGGTGCAGTTGTACTTGTTGAGGATATGAGGGTGGTTGTGGGGATCACAACTATGGTTGTGGAAGCTTCAGTTACTGTTGATGGTGGTGTTGTTGTTGAAGCATCATTTGTTACTGTTGAAAGTGCAGTTGTACTTGCTGAGGATATAAGTGTGGTTCTGGGGATCACATCTATGGTTGTGGAAGCCTCAGTTTCTGTTGATGGTGCTGTTGTTGTTTTACTTGGTGAAGATATGAGGGTGGTTGTGGGGATCACATCTATGGTTGTGGAAGCTTCCGTTTCT